CCTCTGGTGGCATTTCTCTGGCTTATGTTGAAAGTATTCTTTCTGTTTTATGTTATATAAAACTACAGGAGGCTTGCTGAAGGCAGTGAACAGACTGACTTGTGCCCCGTGGTACAGGCCCTATCTATCCCCTTTTTCTGTGGATTGTGTATGTACTGTGTCATCTCCCATCAATACAGTGGCACACAGGAGACAACACATGGCAGCTTTATTATATGCCCATACACCTTGAAATCAACTGGCTAGATACCACCTGATTGAAAGGGTCCTTTGTGTCAAAAACCTAGAAAACATAGAAAAGAAATAACTTTTTTTGTAACACCTGTCTTTATCTATGCATTGTCCTATCTGTGTGTGTCTTTGGAGCCCTAATCCTGAAGTTGGGAACCACTGAATAAGTGTTTTAAACAAACTCAATGCCATGTCAGCAGCAAATGTAATAAACCTTCATTGAAGTGTTTGGTGTGGATTTCTATTTATAGCGTGGACACTCAAAATAAAATGAACATATTTAACCCTTTTCCCCAGCTTGTTAACTACATATCCCATGGCATCCTTGTTCATACAGCCCTGCGTGATACGCATTTTACGCACCGGGGAGACAGAGTGGGTCGGGTCTGTGTTTACTTCCGGACTCTGATTTAGACTTCGCTCAGAAAGCAGCAGCTCAAGCGGAGGTTCAGACTGTCAGCTAGCACAGTAGTAATACAAGGCTTCATGACAGAGGATACCGGGTTCACCAGCGGCACCACTGAACACCGGACACTGCGACGCCGGGCAGATCCACACCGTTGCCCTGCTTCCTTCCACTCGCACTTGTGCTTAAAAGCACTCAATGTTGTATTCCAGCTACCAGATAATAAACTGATCTGACTGTGTTCCTGCTACTCCATGAACCGAGCTAGCCGAGGATTAAAACAAGGACAATCGCTCAAAGTTTAAACGTCGTTTCTATTTGACCCGCCAGGATCCGGCAGCTGGGAGAGACGCAAGCCCGTGGAGAGCGACGGGACTCGGGGGCCAGGCAGCCAGGGCAGTGAGGGCGGTAGCCGGATAAACTAGGGGGTCGCCTCCAGCTCCTGGTCGTTTTATCCCCAGCAAGCTAGCGTTAGCTAAGCTAGCTACGAACAGCACCATGGATTGGTTAATGGGGTGAGTACAGCTAACGTGCTAGCTCAATCTCCTATGACAGGTCATCTGCGCAGTCTTTCTGATTCTGGCTGAAAATTCACCTATCAGTGGCCGACACCACCAGAGTCAGCATTACACAGGTGCACTGTTGTGGTGAATACTCTTCAACTTCCACGTTAGCGCATTCATTTAGCCTTCTACGGGTTGCCTAGGTTAGCTTAGCTCTGCAATGCTAGCTTGGTAGAAAAGCAGGCAACGGTAAGCCAACCCACTGTTACCCAGGGCCAGGCGGTATTTTTGGCCACCTCTCTGGCCTCCAGCTAACTAGCCAGCGGTGGCAGCGCTCAGAATAGGTCGTGTGAATATCACCGGAGGCCAGATTGCAGTTCCGGGATCTTATTTATAGGAGTAATTAACTAACACAACAAACAGGCTAACGCTAACAGCTTGTCAATGTGGCTAACGCGGCTATAGCCGGTTTATTTCCTGTGCAAGGTGCGCTCGGTGCGCTCGCCGTCTTTACAGGAATTAGGGTTTGCAGTAATGCTAACTTCAGAGTGTCACCTTTGGGGAACCACAGAGGCTCCGGGGTCAAAGACCTTATTGATTGAGTTGTTAAAGATGTTGAATAAGCTTTATGTTTTTGTCTAAATGTAGGGAGTGACACGTGACTGCTTTGACACATGGGAGAAGCTGGTGATGCTGTTTTGTCACTATTTTTTAGCCTGGGACTGTCCGGATCCAGAGCTGGTGGACAGTAGGCCACTACTCTTGTGAGATGTGTTTCAGTATGACACCTGCTGTAAGTTCAAGGCCGTGGTCGTTGTATTCAGGATTAAGCTACCACATCAGTGTAACATCCCAAAGCCTAGCAGCCCAGTCTACATCTGAACTCAGACTTGTTAGCTGGAATTTACTTAGCCTTTGTATTTGCTATGCAAACTTAAAGGCACAGATAGTCTTGTCAGAACCTGAGTCATATTTGCCTGTAAGTAAAGGAGGGGCGCAAGGTGTGTTTGCAGTTTCTTTTGTATATTCACACATCTTCGTGGACATGGTTAAGCTTTAATTTCGGCCTGTGATGTTTAATGTTGAAACACAAGGCGATTAGATCTCTCTCCAAACAGGAGATGATCAAGTCTTTCACATATCATAAAAGGTTTGGATGTGGACAGTAAGGTGTGTCCCTGTGAGGTTATTCATTTTGCTGGCTGGTTATCAGGTTTGTTGGCTGGCTTCAGCACTTTGCAAGCAGATCAGGGTTGAGGAAGGGTGGAGAACCGTTGTCAGGGGTGTTTCTTCACACACTGTGACATTTTGGCCGAGAGATAATGAGGCAGTCCCTCAGTATCCCCCAGCCAGAATACCAGCCAGCTGAGACCACTGTTTACAATCACCTCTGCCAAACAATATGCGCCTTTGTTCACGCTACTCTGTCTGTTAAGGATATTTGAGAAACTGCTTTGCAAACTCAAATGAAGTTTATTTAGTTTTTGGTCCATAAAGTACTACTTTATAGTCTGTTACTGTTCTCACTCACAGCTACTGACCTGCAAGGCATACAAAAATCCTCTAGTGTTTGGTTCAACTTCAAGTGCCCACAAACACCCTTTCCCCTCAAATATCATCCTAGCTTTAAAAAAAAAAAAAAAAAAAAGAACCGGATGAACCAGAAAAAAAATTTGCATGTGTTTTTGGTATTTTATAGTTTTTATCTACACAGCTGTACCACAAACTGCAGGCTTTCTTGTGGTTTTCATTTAGCTTGTTTTCCGCCTTCCATCTTCTGATACTGTACTGGTTTCCTTGTTTCAGTAGCTGGTTGTTGCATCGACTTGTCTCAAGTTACTTCAGGTCTCTCAACTCTAATTGTGATTTAAAGGTTCTAACTTCCTATTCTGGTTTTCCCTTATTAACGGAATGAAAAAATGGCAATGCTTAGCCCCAGCAGTTGGTGCTATCAGACTTAACTGGTTTGCTCGGTGAGCTGTTAAGAATTCATGAGCAACACCCAGTTGCATCTTGGTATCTTGGTGAGGAGGTGAGAAAAGTGAAGAACCATGTATGAGGAATAGAGAAAGACACTGCCTGCATTTATTCACAGCCAGGATTGTCTTGGGAGTTAGTAAATGCAGTTGGTATTGTACAGCACCGACTTTCTTTTCAGAGTCTAAAATGGGGCATGCTTAATCATGACCTGCAGAGTGTCATTACTGTCAGGTCTGTCTATCAAACTGTTGTACCTTATCTCTGGTGATGGCATTTGTGCATGTTGGGTTTGTGTATATATGAAGCTGAGGTGTGTGTGTGAGCTGAATGTACTGGGAGCAAGTAGGCGTATGTCACTGTCGCAGTTGAGTCCATGAATGAGTTAACCAAGCGTGTGATCACTTTGAATACAGACCGAGGGTGAAGGATGACACATCCAGGACTGATGCAAGAAGGGAGAGAGATGATGGAATACAGAGAGATGGGGAGAGCAGCTGATTTGGGGAGAAGTGTGCAGATGTAGAGTGAGCGAGTGAGTGTGATGAATGAAAGAGGAGAGAGTGATGAGGGAAAAGCAGAGTGATCTAAAGGGAGGGAGGAATGCTTTTGACCGATGAATAGCAAAGGAAGGATGGAGGAAGGGGATATGAATGCTTTTGATAGAATAGTTGGTTAGGGAGAAAAATAGAGGAACTTAGTAGGTGGTGGAAGGGGTGGAGCACTTTACAGGACGGGTGAAGCTCCAGAGGGAATCAAATGGAGGTCTGTAACAGATGACAAGCCCACCGCGGCCTACTGATGGTGGATAGATTGAGAGAAGGCAATACCTACCATAAGTGACCGATGCAGAAGACACAGACACATTCTATTGTTTTTGCAGGAGGCTACAAATACTACTACTTTGTATTAGTGTGTATGACCTATGTCCTTGCCTAAACCAAAATGTGTGTTTACATGTGGCCTCTCTGTGCGCTGTGTATTTATTTTTATCAGAGGACATCATTTCAGAGCTGACATCATCTGTGCAGACTCGGAATCAGACAGGACATTAAGTCACCAGGGAGATGTGCAACGTCTGACTGTGTCTCTTCCTGCTGGGTGAAATGGGCAGGCTTTGACAGATGTTTAATCTTCTTGCTTTTGACTGATATATTGGTAACGCTGAATGAAGAGTGGGAACAGAAACTGCAGAGTCTAAGTGGGGCGCTGTCTTAGGCCGTCTGAGCTGAGCAAGAGTCCGATTTAAAGTACACTCAGCTTGCATTTCTTAAAGTACCATGTGAAATGTGTCTGTAACATAGAATATTGTAAAGTCTCAGATATTTTCTGCGCTGCAGTTATTATATTTTTATTTTCAATACACCTCAGTTGTTTTCAGAATTTTGATTAGTCTCTAAAATGTCTGTAAGTAGTGAAAAATCTCCCAAGGTGCTGAGTGTTGCATCTTCACGTTTTGTTTGACCAGTCCAAAACCTAAAAAGATTTCATTTTCTCTAATGTAAGACAAAGGAAAAACAGCAAATCTTTGTATTCGAGAAGTTGTAACTAGCAAATCTTTGGCTCTATTGCCTGAAAAATGACAGCAAATTGTTAAAATGGTAGTCGAGTAATTGACTGTTTATGCTCAGATTTATACACAATTTTGATCATTTTAGAATTTGTTTTTTTGTTGTTGTTGTTGTTTTGACAATTTTACACACTGACATATTCTAGAAGTTTTTTATGCTACTGAATCAAAATGGGTTTTGTAGAGAAAAGGTGTTTACTGTATATTCCTTAGGTACTGAAAGAGCATTAAATTAGCATTGATTCTGAAATATGGGTGTCATATTAATGCTGGTATGAAACATGTTGAAATGGCACCATATAGTAAACTTAAACCAGGTGGCATATTGTTATAGAATTATACAATAAGTATGTTTAGGAAATTTTAGATGATGATGGTGTGCTGCTTTTGTCATGGTGACCTTGATCCAGACATTTCCCATTGCTGGGGTTTAGTTGCTTTAAGAGTCTGGTCCCTCTTCCTGTTCGAGCTGTCTCGTCAGCCAACCAAACCACTTACAGGCTGAACCTCCCCTGCAGTGGGAAACATCTGCCTGTTTGCAGTTATATCTGCGATGTGGTGTCTACATATCACTGGTGTGATTGTTCGTATTAGTGCACTGTCTCAGCCGTTTTGTGGTCCTCGACCCTCTTTGTAAGTGTCACGTTTCTGACGACAGCTGTCATGTAAATGTAACTATAGTATAATTCTGTATGTCAGTTTCAAACCTAACAATAACTGTGCTAGTGTTTGATCATAAAGTGGGTGGGTGCATATTGGGCGGCAGCTGGGCATCCTGTAATAGCAGTGCCATTAACATTTTCCATGTTAGCTGGGTGTTTCACTACTCATTGCATTTCATTGCGCTCTGGCTGGTGTCTTCTTCGAATAGCCAGTAACCTGAACCATGCAAAGTAACTGATGGCCATAATATAACCCTATTATATCATTAAATAATGCAGTAGGCATCTGCGTTTCCATGTTCAGATTGTCATAATCTTCCAGCTGAGATTTTAATGTGTGGAAAAACAACACATGCAGCTCCAAGTCTGGCAGGATTGCTAGTAATGGTCCATAATGATGTCTTTCAAACAGACTTCAGTAAACTCAGTATATCTGTATCTGTTTATCAGCCAGCATGGAAACTCTGCAGTAGCAGTTTGGCTTGGTTTGGTTGTAGTTTCAGTCTGAGTTTGTATCCTTTTTATGTTTATGACATGTGCACACTGCAGGCCTGTCCTTGTGCAACCCCAGCATCTTATTTTTATCTCCACCACACACTCACACACATACATGAACATACACCCGTATTGCAGTTTCAGACCAGGTGGCTGTTTCCGCTGCTCACGGTGCAGGTTGCGGTGCTGATAGCAGGCTGTGACAGACAAACAAACATCATCTCAGAGTGTTCACTTGGTCAAGAATAGAAACTAGCCACCACTACTGTCACTGTGCTGCCTGGTCTGGAAGAGGATCAAGTCAGACT